ATAGAAATTTAATGTTTACTTCACCGAAATTTTTCTTTTCAAGATAACATGTTTTCACTAAAATTAACATTTTTCCATTGTCACTTTAAAAACACTACAAAGTTAAAAATTAAGTCTGTTTCTTTATTGTCTATCAGTTTTAATATCGGGTGTTTCCTCCTCTAGCCCTGATAACCGCTTGCATTCGATCTGGCATGCTTTGAATGATGTTTCTGACATCAACTTGCGGTATGCTGTCCCAAGCGGCCAGCGCTGCATTTCGGAGCTCATTTAGAGTTTGTGGCGGTTTGGAGCTGGACTTTATCTTTCTTATGAGCATACCCCATACATGCTCAATTGGATTTAAGTCCGGGCTACGAGCTGGCCACTGTAATTTTTGTATTCCAACCTCTTCCAGATAATCCTCTACACAATGTGCGACGTGCGGGCGTGCATTATCGTGCATGAGGAGGTCGTGTCCAATGAATCCCGAATAAGGCATTACGTGCTCCTGAAGAACTTCCTCGATGTATCGAGTAGCTGTAAGCCGATTATCGACGATGACCAACTCTGTACGTGCGTCGGAACTTACACCTCCCCATACCATTATTGAGCCTCCATGGAAACTCACAGTTTGGGTGGTGGTAATGGATAGAAACCTCTCTCCTCTTTTTCTCCACACTCGTTCTCGACCGTCTGGAGCACGTAAAGCTATTCGACACTCATCTGTGAACAACACTCTAGCCCATTGCTCGTGGGTCCAATTGACATGTTCTCTTGCGAACTGAAGTCGGGCTACTCGGTGCTGTTTGAGAAGTTCTGGACCTCGTGCTGGTCTACGAGCTTTTAAATTCACTTCCTCCATTCGTCTTCTCACCGTACGCTCACTAACATTAACGCCTCTTGCGATTTGGAGCCGCTGGCGTATCTCAACAGCGGTCAGGTAGCGGTTTCTCAAAATCTCCATAACAATAAAACGATCGTCCCGGGCCGATGTGCACCTTACGCCCCCACTGCCTGGCCTGCGGGTGTAGCGGCCTGTCTCCTGGTATCGTTTCAGTGAATACTGCATTGAGGACCGTGGTACGTTAAGCACTATAGCAACTTCACGCTGTGTCAGCCCTTGGTCAATTAATGCTACTGCTTGTGCAACTTGTGCTGGTGTTAATGGCATTTTTATTGGCTTTAAATCACCTTTAGTTATTTAATTAAGACACAAGATCACAATAATTGAATAACCTTACAGTAAACTTTTCACAACACACAAATTTAAAATGTGAACTTAGTCGCTCAAATGACCCGATTCAACTAAAAATTAAAGAATTCGTCATGGTGCACTTAAACATAATGAATTACCCTCTTGAACTTGAGGGTAAACATTTTTTGACATACTTGCATAACAAACATTCATCAGAAACACTTAAAGCTTTTGCTATCGCGAGATAACCGCTTGGCCAAGTTTCCGTGTCACCGGTGAGGTTATTTTGTCTATGCCTGTGTGAAATTGTTAACATATTTATATTTACATGTTTTAATTGTTACGTATGAGTTTTGTAAAGCTAGACAATTGTCTTTATGTGCGCAGTTCCCCCCCCCCCCCCCAGAAATGATAGAAAAAATGCTATGGCTACTTCTCTCCAGTCCATAGAGTATGTTCACATGGCGAGTTGCGTCAGCGTTGCGTTGACGTAGGGCTGTCACTGCGTCGTTTACATACTAATAAGTAATAACTATAGAGTGCACACGGTGCACTGCGTTGACGCAACGCGCACACGACTGAATGAAAGCCCCCGAGACGAATGGGAAGGGGTGTACTGCTTGCGACACAGTAGCGGCAGCGTTTAGTTGTTTGTGCGTTGATAGCACGCAAGCTAACTTAGTTTTTTCTTTGAGTTTAATTTGCAGTGTAAAATGAGTTGTATTAAAGAATAAAAAACATATAAGTAAAGAATGAGTATTTAAGAAATTGATAATATGGATTACTTCATTTCATTAATTCAGGAAAGAGAAGTTATATGAGACAAGTCACATGCCATGTTTCCGAATAGACTGCGATATTTTTACAAAATGCTCACCGCAACTGTGCGTCGCCGCTGCGACGACGCAACGCAACGCAACGCGCCGTGTGGACTCAGAATATTTATTAGCTTATAACCCTAGGGCTGAACATTTTCTGCGATTATGTTGTAAAAACGAATACATTTCCCCATAAATGAATGAATAATTGTGGATTCTAGTAACTAAGGCAAGTCGCGTCCAGGCTGCGCTCGCCGCCGGTCGCGTCCGCCGGTCGTAGACTTCCGCCTGGGAGGGAGAAGTACAGTACAAGCGCGTCGCTTTGCAATGGGTGTACGTGCCGTGGGGTGAACTTGGCTTGTACTGTACGTTCTTGGCCCTGAACCCTCCTGGGATGACATCCTCAACACTGCGTGTCAACTAATATGCTGGGAAGCGAGCTCCGGACGCCCGGCGTGCTGCTGTCAGGAGAGCGCACGCCTGTTGGCGACTCGGCTCCACGTCGAGATCCGTCTCCGTGGGACCTGGTAGTCGTTGACCCTTCGGCAGATCCCTTCCCAGATGCGCGAGATACGCCAGGAATGCCTAGGAACTAGCAAGGCCATCACCTAGAACTAGGGAGGAGCACCTAAGGCCCGGAGTGCTGCTATTCAGGAGTGCACACCTGTCGGCAGAATTGGCCCTACGTCACGACCCGTCCTCTGCGAGACTGCGTCTGGTTTTGAGACTGTTGACCCTTCGGAAGCGCCTACCTAGGGGCGCGTAATACGCCAAGCTAAGATAGCCAATAATGCCGTTCTTGAACGGCTCCCAGGACCGGCCCATAGAAATGGGCTGTGATGATTGGCCGGGTAATGGGGAATGCCTCGAGGCCCAAGACCTGCTGGGCAGAAAGCCCAAGCAGAAGACGACACGAAGTGACTGAGGCATAATAATAATAGGCAAAGCGTATGTTTGTTCATAGTATTCATAGCACCAAAGCTATTCATGTTTTTATGTTTACATTTTTATAAATATATATATTGCAATGCTAACGTTAATATGTTTATTTTTTAAATGTGTCTATAAAGGATTCTTCACAATTTTTCATAAACATAAATTGCCCATACCCTGACCCTCTTTTGCTAACAAATATGATTTCAATGTCAGTCGCGTAACTAAAATAAACTAATGTAGCAGTTTCTACATTGGTTAGTCACACAATTATCAATATTGTTGGAACTTTAATCTTTCTTACAATATATTGCTGCAGTCTGCAAATCTAAGTCTGCTTGCTAATTTAGTTAAATAGTTGAATTTGGGCTTCCCGTCAATAGTTGAATAGTATTCCAGCCTAGCCTACAGCTGAAATGTGAGGACATAAACTGTTGCTAGGTTCAGTTTTGATAGGTAGTCGGGATAGGTTACCACCATTGTGCGATATTATTTAAACAATTGTAATAATTATTAACTGGCGATACGAGTTGTGAACTAGTAACGCAAACAAGTTCCTAATCAAGCATATTGTTACCCTTCCTGCGACTCCTATAATACTCGTAATTACTTGTGTAATTTTTTGTTTGTTGGTACCTACGTTGTATTTTACACTACAGGACATAAAAAAGGATTATTTGATCATTATTTCATGAAAACGATGATATAATAATTGTAAGATAAGTAGTTTATTAGTAACATTTTGTTGTACATTCGTAATATTTGCTCACTGATCGATTATGAATGTGGTTGACACACTTGTCGGAGGAACAACTTTGGGGGACAACCTCAGTGTAGGTACCTCTACCAAGTCGTTTTTTGATACAGCCTTTATTAAGAGATTACTCACTTCCGATATTTTTGGAATTCACGGCAAAGTTAAGTTAAAGAACAGCGCTAGTTCGGAGGCTAGTTACCGCTAACATAACAGTTTGGTTTTTCCCCGCCGGCATTAACGAAGTTAATTTATTTAGTATTTTTATGTGCGAAGCGGTAAATGAAAACATCGGAAGGAAACCTGCATGTCTGTCTGTCTTAGACTTGCATAGACGTATTTATTTTTTCAGACGAGAAAATAAATATTTTTCGAAGATATTTGAAGTCCGCCGCGCCGACACACGGCTGAGCTTCTCTTGCTCGTTCTTAGAAAAATAAGGTTTATGTCCTCACATTTCAGCTGTAAGATGGAAAACTACTACGGCTTACGAACTATATGACTAACTAAGCGACCCGCCCAGCTTTGCCTTGGTAGGATCTATTAATTGAGCGTTGCATTTATATTTAAGATCAGCATTTAATTTAACATTTTGTTTTCCCAAAAAGAAAAAAAAACTTTAATATTTCGAAAAAATTACAAGCGATTTAGCCACTCCGAAGATTTATTCATGTCTTAATAGCATGTAAATACGCCCTTCGACTCTAAGGCAATTATTTCGATTTTACAGGCAGACAATTCAATTTTATTTATATGTATAAAAATACCCAGATTAAATAAGAATTTAATTTTTTTGTTTAATAATATGTATTATTATATTAGGACTTTAATTAAGCACAGAATAAGGTACATGAGCATATGTAAAGTTAATTTATGAGTACCTCATCATTTTTAAATAATTCAGGAAACTCATCAAATTAATTTTTTTACTTCTGTTTCCTTTATATCAGTTGTTTTCAATGCTAAGTGAGGAGGGGCAAGTTAAATAAATATGCAAGTATTGTCTTAATGCTAGATGTCTTTATTTTCCATTTCCTTATAGAAAATACTTTTTCAAAAAACAGTACAGTGGGCCACCCGGGCCCGACCGGCGCGTTGACTAATGCCGTACCACCCGTTCAACATCGATATAATAAACGATAAATAATATAAAAGAATACTGATAGCGCGAGATCGAAAGATTATTACAGGGACTTTTCAATTTTGATCAGTTCAGCGATGCCGTCGTACATTTCCTTCACAGCGTCGTATTCGGTGAGACCCATGCGCCTCTTGTTGGAGATGTCGTACACTCCACCCTCGGCTTCAGTGTGCTCACCGCGAGTTCCGCGACTTGCAAGTGGTATTTGCTGGCCACTTCCTCCAACTTCGCCTTATCAGCGGCCAACTTAGGCAGCTTAATGTGCACGGACGCACGGACAGTCGTTCCCAGGTTCGTGGGGCAGAAGGTCAAGAAACCGAGACGGTCATTGTGCGAGAAGGGGATCCTCTTCTCGATGTCGTTGACGGCGGTCACTAGCCTCTTGTAGACCTGTTTTAGGTCACCGCCCATTTGCATGGAAATGATACGAAGGTGGTCCTCCTCATTGCACCAAACGAGGAAGGTCTTGTTCTCGTTGTGGTAGATACCACGGCCGGTGGGCCAGAATCGGCACGCGTTCGCGGCCTGCAGGAAACGGTCACCCTCCTTGAAGAGGAAGTGGTCGTCGATCAGTTGCTGCTGGGTAGCCTTCGACATGCCAGTGAGAGGATAGAAGGTGCCTTTAAGTTCACCCTCGAGACCGGAAAGGGTGGAAGAAACCTTCTCTTCCATCTCCTTGTACTGGGCTTCAGTTAGGCAGGGGTTGAAGGGGTAACCTTCCATAGAGCGGCCACAACGCACACGGGTGGAGACGATGAACTCGCCGGCGGGGTCCAAGTTGCCGAGAGTCTCGACATCGCCCCAGTTCTTGGGCGGGTGCTTGTCAGTCTTCTTGAAGCCATTGTGGTAGTCTTCGATGATGGGGTCGAACAGGTCCGCGAACACTGTGTACGCCTCGGCATCGGGGGCGTAGATTCCAACACCAGAGTCTAAATTCTCAATACCTGTAAACAAATTATAAATAGGTGTTATATTCAATGAAAATATAGAATATTTTCCACAGGTAGTGTAACGTGATACGAGATATCAAATAATCCGTAGCGACCGATTTAAAACAATGAACAATAGGGATATCAATTTTCTGTAATTCAGCATATCCAACGTTATCTACAGTTATATCAGTTTACCAATAATCGCCTTAATAAATTGTTACGTAACTTTCAAAGTACAATGAGACAAAATTTTACATTAATATTATGTTTATAATTATTTATTAAAAACTACTAAAAACAATACGTGACAATTAATGAAAGACTAATTTGCTCAAATAAATTTTTAAAATCATTTAAATCATAAGAGTAAAATGGTAAAATATAACTTACCCGACTGGATGCAGTCCAAAAGGGTTGAGCCGAACGAGGTTTTCTTGTTCTTAAGCGCGTCGAACACCTCCCTCGTGAGGTATTTCTTCAGCAGCGACTTGGAGTCAGAGGCTTGAAGCTTGCTGAAACCAGCCTCCAATTTCTCGAGGGTTGCGGCGTCACACATTGCTGCAGCTTTTCTGTTAAACAAAAAAAATGGTTAATATGTAATCGTAACGATCATGTGTAAACTATGAAAGTAGGTAGATTATAAATTCTAACGCTTTTAACGCGGCACAAGTAGCTCGAGTACACATCTTATTATTTTAGTAATTATAAAGAATCGTAATAACGGAGACAATTATGGATTCCGAAGCCAAAGTGACGTTAAATGTCAAAAAATTGAAAAACCGTGACAATAGATTATTTTTTTTTAAATAAAAATATTCTCGATCCATTGTAAGAGTAATGGAATCTAGTCTAGTTGTAATAAAAAATATTATTGGCTGTTATTTTTAAATTTAGTTAATTTAAGCAGGAAAGCATTAACAAAAATTTATAAAATTGTACGTTACTTTATTATTATTAATACAAACCGCCTGATGAGGTAAAATGCAAGTACAGCACCGCCGCAAACCACAATGGGAATAGTAACTTTTAGTTTATTATTCATGACGATGGAATACAGGAATCTTTATGCGTTATGGATTTGAGAAAGGGTCTACACTACGTATGGAAAAGCCGTTGTGACTGTCGAACGTCCTGAACGGATTTGTTATAAACACACCCTAGAACACTGGGTTTTCAGTGGAATTACGTAATTTAGATAGAGGTCGCTTGGACAGCGCGCAAGTCGGGCGGATATCTCACTCACTGCGCACCGGCGTTGCTTCGCGTCGCGCAACCATTCCTCATTCCTCCCACTCGTCGCTGAACCAACGTATTATCGCGAGTTTCTTATTACCTACCTCTTTGCTTTCAATTCTTTCGTATAGTTGATTCACAGTAATAAGCGCATCGGATTACCGTATACAGTCATCGTCCTAAGTGCAACTGAATCAACTGCATTATTTATTGTGCGATTTTAAAATAGTTTTATTAAATAGCTCCGTATCTTTGTACCGACGATCTAATGTTTAATAAGCAAAATTAGATTAATGTAACGTTTACGTGTTGTCGATTTTCAATTTCATATTATTTATTTATTCCATTTATTATTATATTGATGTAAAATTTTGTTTAACCTTGCCAAGGAAAGTGGAAAGACTTGGAGCAAGCTTTTCACTCATAGGGGGGTCCAATCTCGGAAATAAAAGATTATATTAATCATTACTAACGATTAGAGCAAAAGAGCCTATTAAGACAATACTAATTTTGTTTATAATGTATTTTAAGAGATACGGAGTACCTAAATGGCTTATCCTTCTCTACCTTTGTACCTAGTTGAACGCGTGAATACTTTCATACTTTAAATTCCATCAAAATACAGATCGTGTTAGACAAAATCAATCGGTCAAAAATAACATAAACAGTATTATAGTCATGACCTACACAAATCAAGGGAACAACTAATCGTGTTTCCCCACAAATACATTTGTTTTACATGTGTTGTATAATATAACTCAATGCATAAATATGCATCGTTGTTTTCACAAACGTTGTTTTTAATAATTTACCTACTCATCTTTACCACAAAAATACTTTACCGGTACAGTAGTAAAATTTTCTTCAAGAACAAACTGCCCTTACAAATTCATTTGTAAATATTAGGTAATATTTGTAATATCTATGCATATGATCTAAAAAGGGAATGATTTTTGGTAATTACTATGTTGTATCTAGTATGAGATTGAATATGCCTAAATGAAACTCAAAAATAACATATGCAGCACCGCGGTAGGCATAAATAAACCCCCGCTTGGAGACATACGCACCCGTCGGCTTCATCAGCCGGTTTGTTTTCCTTGTTTTCTTTAGTCGCACAGCCACCCATTTTCACAATTATTTCTTACAAAAAACTAGCCGCTAAACATGCACTAAGTTACAAAAAACTACTGCAAATAAATAAAATGAACGGAGGATACTAAATGCAATGATGGAATGATATTTGTCCAAATGAATGTATCCGTGCTGGGAGTGGCAAGGGCGAGGGGTGGCCCGATCGATGCGCGGCACGCGACGGTACGCAGAACGCACGCGGTTCGCGCTTCCCGGCTTCCCGCCCTTCGGGAATCGCTTCAAAACTTTTCGGAGGGAAACCTACCTCCGACTAGAACTACCGTTTACCTTCACGAGCGAAGTTTGAATGCAGCACCAAGTTTTTTGAAGCGCGTTATCATATCAGAATCAACACTTGAAGTTATCTTAACACTATTGTAAAGATTTAAGGTTGTCAGTTGTAACACAACGTTAAAGCAAAGCCGGCATGACGGCGGTGGCGCTCGGCGAGATGCTTGTGGATGGTAGAAAATAATTAAAAGTGGCCACCGCTTACCTTGCACTAGGACAACCGTCTGAGTCGACTGCGAGTTGCAGAATGGATGGTCGGAGCGGGAGCGCGGAACGTTAAGCCCGAAGTGCCCGAAACTCCCCGCGCCCGCACCGCAGCCCTACCTAACCTTGGCTTTGCTGATGCCTTGCGTCTGGCTAGCCAATGCAGATCTAGGTATGATTTCCTTGCGGTAGCCACAGCCAGTACCATTTAATTCTGTTGTTGATGACTGTCATCACATTCCTTGGATAATTGCTGTTCAGCTTGCCAAATTCATCCAGTAAACAACAGTGTTCTGTTTTTACCTTTCAATAAAATAAGTTATTTGTTTAGAGTAATGAAAAGTTTTAGAGCAATTATAATGAATTAAAATATGAGCGTTTTTAAAATTTTAAGGGTATATTTTCCATTTTGCACGTGATCTTATTTGGGTTTATGCTGATCACGATTATAATAATGCCTTAAACTTATAGCTAAAGTAACTGGAATATCGTTCGTAAATCATTTTAATTTAAAACTAATAATGCATTCAAAACTTTAAAACAAATTGTACCTAATTCCCTAGTTCTCGAAAAGATTTCAACGTCTTTAAATAAATAAATCTTAAAATCAATTATTCAATATTTTTCCGTTGTACCCAATTTGTAATGAATTATCCGAGCGTTATCAGTTTCGATCTTCAAAATAGATTTAATAGTTCTTTTTCTCATCTGGATCTGATCCAAAATAGCCCAAACATTCGTTAAATTACACAGACGGTACCAATGTCAAGTTTACTGTCGTTGCGTAATTTTTATAACATTACCCACATGCTTCTGTTGGTGATAATATTGATATTTCAATATATAGCTGACTGGTCAGATTTTATCTTACATTTGAAATTTCGATCAACATTCATCTCGAAAGATAAAGGATTTTATTGCACAAATTTTCGCTGTATTACCATAGTCACAGAATAAATAATAGTACTACGTACTATATGGTTATTAAATTTTTCGAGGCTATTACATTTTTGATATTTTCGATTTAAGAATTTTCCGGTCCAGTAACTAAAAAATACAATCAGACAGATATAAAAAAATTACAAGAATTAAAATATTTGTTCCGTTCGCCACTACGTCGCCGTTTTTATGGACAGTTTTAAAATATTTTTTACCTTTTTAGCGCAAAAATGTTGGAATCTAGTGGGGAAATAATTATTTTTGAAAATTTACAATTTACCCAAACTTTCGGAGAAATCTTTGAGTCTCAAACGAGAAAATGGAAAATTTATAATCGTTAAAATTTTAAGCCGCCAAAAGTTTTTCCACAAAGCTGTTTTCCCAGCACAAAATAATGAATGTAAAGAAAATTAATATGACAACTGTAAAATAGAGAAAACAGCTATTTCGTATTACGTGACCTGTTCAGTATCCCTAGAGTGACGTAATCGTTGCGTATTCTTACGTCCTTGACCTTCTGATCTGATTAAACGGGCATTATGTTTGTAGGTACGCTAAGTCGCCACTCGCCACTGAAGGAAGCCATAAAAATGCCCTAGTCAATGAAATGAAACCTCACGCTTCACAGAACACGAAATGATGTGAATGAAATATAAATACATAATATACAATATGGAACTCTGACGCGATACCTAATACAAGGGTTGCAGGTTTCGAAAAGCCGTATAGACCAACGAGCTTAGCCGGACATTTTGGTAAAATGGCCGGACACCCTTAACATTTTAGTCATAGATATAACATGAAAACAAGAAAGCATTGTTTTATTTTCATTTACATCATTTTATAAGATCTTCTTAAATTCTAATGAAATAACAATAAAATTGAATAAATCAATCGTCTTTATCATTAATCATTCAATATTCAAACAATATTAATTTCATAAATTGCAATAGCGTGTATGTAAGTACATGAAAAATGTAAAAAATGGTCTAATTTAAAAAGCCTGACAAAAGCCGGATAGGTCGGACACCGTCTAATTTAGTCGGACACGCAACCAAAAAGGCTGTGTCCGGCTTTATCCGGACGCCTGGCAACGCTACCTATGCTTCATCGCTAGCCTAGCCATTGTTTCGAATTAACCAGTGGTCGGCAAGTGTTGTTATAATTTGCTTTATATAATTTCACAAACGTTAACCCAATTGATTTTCCAACACTGCAGCATAATTGTACATTGGCTCTCCATACCGTTCAGACCGGAACTCAACACTGTAAGCACAACTATTTAGCGGCAGAAATAGCTAAGATAGTAATCCTACCAAGAGATCCTGGGCAGAAAACCGTCCCAACACCTAGTAAAAGTCATTAGATTTGCTTAGCATTTCTTGTTTCCCCTTACGACACCCGAGCGATGACGAATGGATGATTTCACTTACTTACATTTATTATTTGTGAATTTTAACCACGTAAACGTACAGTTACCGTTCAGCAGATCAAAAGTCGATAATTGTATATATGCTTGATCTCACTGACTGAATCTCACAGGTTCTTAGATCTTCATTGTTGTAGGTGTCACGCTTGACAACCGCAGTTTATTTTATTTTCGGACGTTATTAGAAAAATGTTGCTGCCCATGACCTGTTTTATTTTCTTTGCGCCTTTTACGATACCTACAAGAAGATATGGGATAGTGAATTACACCGCCACTACTCTATATTTATTATGCTCTCATGAAATAGTAAATACCAAAGCAAAATAGCAAGTAATTGCTGATGAATTTCTGATACCGTGAGCGATATGAAACTAAGGCATAATTAGAAGCAAGGAATCATTCCATGTTATTCTTTAAGTTATGTCTCAACAGTGATCTTAAACTTTAATTTGCTTATACAACCATTAGCTATGTCTTTAGGGAAAATGGCTTCATGTTGCTAAATGTATCCAGTCATCAGCCTCAGTAAAACTACTAACGAGCTAAAATAACTCGACGTGAAAACCATAATATGAAATAAATATGAAAATTAGATGTATCAGCAATAACCATGAGAATTGATGCGATAAAGCTTATAAGGTTATAAGATAAAGCGTAAAAGGATGAAAATCAAGTCTCTAAAAATTAGAACGAAGGCTTAAAAATGTTTTGTCACTAGCATAAACAAATCAGTCATACGTCAGTAACTTCATTCATAAATCATTATTAATATTGTGGTACCAAATTGAGTGTTTCAGTTGAAAAAAAAAGAAGATGCTCGAAGTCCTTGGCAGTGACACGAAACCGTAGCCTTGCTAGCTGTTCTACAGTTTTTAAAAATAAAACATTAGTGGGTATTTGCATCTCAGCGACACGATCCGCGGTATTTATTTGCGATACTTAGTAAACAGTTTACTACTGAATTAGTAATAGATTTTTGTTTTTTTTTTTTAAAGCACGAGCCAATATCTAAATTGTAAACAGCAGCAAAAGTTGTTGTTTTATTAAATTAATGAAACGCAGTTAAAATATGATACCAGCGTAAAATAGTAGCTTAAGACTGCTGTATTTTGCATGGTGATGGTGAGTGAAGCGAACCGGAGACCAATTTTAACTGGTAACGACTCACGAGGCATTCTTAGCCCTGTTCCAGCATTTTTTTTATTTGAGGGTAGATACAGATGTATCTACTATACTATATACTATACGATCCACAGAATTCGTCGCCGTCAATTCATTCAGAGAGAAATCAGATGAAGGACGAACGGCTTTACGCGATCTCCGAGACACATCGCATACTCCCAACTTCCTGACTCCGGGTTGCTACAGAGAATTTCTAAACAAAAAAAAAACTGTCGGTCGTAGGACTGCACGTCAGTATTGTATTATTGGCTTCACTAACATGTTTAAACATTTTTTTGGGTTGTTAAGAAATACGTTGGTAGAATGTATTTTTTATAAGAAATTATTTTTATAAACGTATTAATATAGTAATAAAATTTTTATTTATTGCACTGTTTTACATGAAAAAGAATAATTTTTATCTATATAATACAAACAAATATTATAAACACACATCTATATTTTTTTATAGGAGAGGGGGCAAACGAGCGTACGGCTCACCTGATGGTAAGTGATTACCGCCGCCCACGAGCAACCGCAACACCAGGGGAACTGCAGGTGCGTTGCCGGCTTTTAAAAAGAAGTAGGCTCTTTTCTTGAAGGCCCCTAAGTCGTATCGGTCCGGAAAAATCTCTGGTGGTAGTCGATTCCATAAGAAAGTTGTGCGAGGAAGAAAACTTCTTTCAAATCGCACGGTGGTGAATTGCCAGTCATCCAGATGGTATGGATGGCATCGCGAGTTTTGTCGCAATGTGCGATGGTGAAATTGTGCGGCTGGAATTAGTCCGAACAATTCCTCATGGCCCGGCCACACTAAGGAGAAATGCCGTTAATTATCGCGTTGATGGACGTTGTATCTAGGTGTGGCCACGAATTATCGCGATAATTTGACAACGGCATTAACAATGCCGTTTCCCGTTTGCCGATAACTCGAATGGCGGTACATCAAAGGATTAACGCGCGAATTATCGCGTTGAAGCGGCCACACTACGTTTGTCTCATTGTGCACGGTGAGTGCCACGGGGTTGCACGTATGACTGCGATGGAGTGGAGTAATGAAAAAGCTTTTCGAGATTGAATTAAAAAAAATTACTTCAAAAGTATACTTTAATTTACGGTGTGAAATCAAGAAAAATAAGCAGGAGAAAAAAAAAACAATTTTTGCAGGTCAAAATTCATAGTGTACAGTGGTACGAAACCATAGATATAATACGAAACCCTGGGTACGTGTATCTAATTCGCACTTGACCAGTATTTATGATTGGCTTATTAGTCCACCATTTTCTTTTTCTTTGTATTCTTTTTTTCTTTGTTTATTTTTTATTTTATAAACTATTAACTATATATTATATTTGTTTATTTTTTATATTATAGAAACACAGCAGCATTAAGCTACTATTTTACGCTGGTATTCTGTGAGAGCGTGGTCCTTCCCCGGTCGAAACATTTTACGCCGTTCAACGGCAAATTTAACGCCGTTCAACGGCAAATTTAATGCCGTTCAACGGGAAACGACGTTGACCGTTCAAGTGTAGCCACTCATTTTATCGCGTTAAATTTTAGGCAATATTGTTGCGTTTATGGGCAATTGTGCGTTGCTGGTTAGTGCCGCAATTCCTCAGAGCACTCCCCGATGTATACAGGGTTATTTTGCAATAACTAGCCAAATTTGCAGAGAGAAGGTTCAGAATAAGTAATATAGGGCAAATGGTGAAGAAAAATATATTTAAAAAAAAAAAAACTTCAAACACTCTTCCCTTTTTACGTTTAATTTCTAAATGCATTTTAAATTTAATTTAAATATTTTAAGTGATTTCACTGCGCACGCACACATTCGTAGGGGGTAGGGGTCGATCAGTAGGCATTGATTTGTTTTTATAACTCAATGTCGAGAGGCAAAAACGTTGTTGCCTATAAATCACATCATTCAATTTAGGATAGTTAGGTATAAATAAAAGTGGAAGCCTTATTTACTCATATTTTCAAAAACTGCAATAACGGTATATCATTATTTATATAGGGTCGTTGCGCTGGTTTTCGGCCTTTTAGTGGAGTTGTCAACTTTAAGGTACTATAAAAAATAATAGCGATTATGTTGACCTAGTGTTGTTAATGTTAATTTATAGCTTATATAATGTAGTTTTCATTTTGATAACTCATTGATGCTACAAAAGAAATCTATTTTTTATAATAAATTTTGATGTGAAAAATATGCAAAACGCTAGTTTTCGGCCCCAAATTTTAGATTTCGGCCTACAAGAATTTTAGTTTTCGGCCACTGTATTAGAAGAGGTACTATAAACTTAAAAGTGTTTTTGTAAAATCAGAAAATGGCAAAACGGTTTGGGAAATCGGTGTATTTAGTTT